TGAAAGAGGCCTCAAGGCCTTTAACCCTTGCACAGAGAGCAAATTTCTCTCTGTAGGGAGTGGCCAAATGGTGGCAGAGATAGGGACATAGTTACCTAAACCCAACTAGTCACTCTGAAATTTAAGCTTCTTTTTGCCAGTCCTGGTTGGTGTGGAAAGAAGGGGATCAAAGTAGTGAGAATCCAGAAGGATACTGATAAACAACAACTAGGCTCTACCCTACTCACCAGCTTTCCCAATCTGAACAGCCAGGCGAGTCAGCTTGCCCTGCAGCACCGACTTCTCTTTTTTAGGCACCTTGGATACCTTCTTGTCCTTCTCCTCACTGTCGATTCCCTCTTGGCTGTTGAGTGGCTGGATTTCCAGGGCCACTCCATCCTGGGTCTTTGCTAGGGTGTGCACAGAAATAGGAAAGGTGAGCAGGAAAGGTGTTAGCAGAGTGGCAGGCAGGTAGAAACCAAATTATCCTTCTGTCTTCCTGGAATACACCTGGGGCCCCTTGACACCAGTTCCTACCATTCCCCCCCATACCAAACACGGAACTTACCTTCAACCCTCTATTGGGGTCTTTGAAACAATATTCTAACAAATGAAGATGAAACAAGGGTGCTTTTAGTGGCAGCTTCCTGGCATCACTTCAGAGCCCGAAGCCAGGTTTATTCCAGCAAAGGGATTAATCAAGTCAGTAAAGGCTATTACCAACAACCCTCCTTCCTAAAATTCTGTGCTTAAAATAATGAATCTTTACTGCAGAAAGGGGTGGAAAGAAAAGGTTGCAGATGTTTCTAGAGCATAAGCCTGCTCTATTAAATAGCTTCTCTCTCTCTCTCAACGATCAGGAAAGACACATAGACCCCCAGACCCAGGATTATTTTCCAGTGCCTCTTATCAGTTGAAGGACAGGGGAAGGAAAACCCCCTTTATCCTTGCCTGACAAAGGTAGGGAAGTATAGAGTGGGATTTGGGGTTAAGCTTTTTGGCAGAGAGGGATGAAGCGATGTGAGGGACCTTCCCTGGAATAAGAGAAAGCAGAGGTCAAGACAAACATAAAAATCCCTTTTGTTTTTAAAAGAGTTAAAAAGACCTAAAGTTAAAGAACTGTTTCTGTTTGGCCCCAGTTCTCTGATGTGATAACTTCATTTCTAAAGATTATTACGATGTGGGTTAGTTACAAAGGGAAAAAAACTCTAGGATTTGTCCCAAGAGAGTAGTTCTTGTTGGTCTCCAACTTTACCCCTGCAGAGTTCAGTCCCTTGCTTAGGATGCTCTTCCTGAGAGCTTGTCTCTGCTGTGAGACTCACAAACAAGACAGAGACGAGATGCAAACACAGCCACCAAAAAGGAGAAACACACATCAGATCAGGAGGAAGAAAACATTGTGGAGAGAACAAAGAAAAGAGGTGGGGAGACAGGTCCAGACAAAGGGCTATCTCCACGCAGCCCTGAGAAGACCACCAGAGAAGCAAGCCAGACCAGAAGAGGACATGGATGAGGAAGCTAGCAAGAGGAGGGTGCAGGGACTGCCCACCCCAACCCCTCCACCTTAAGGACCCAGAAACTGATGACTGCTGGTGTTTAAACTCATCTGAGGGCAATGAAACAAAGAGTTCAGCCCCCTGGGAAGAGTAGAGCAATCCTACACATCCCCCAAGAGAAACCTTGACATGAGATTCTATGAGCCAACGGCAGAGGGTGCTGTTGTCCCATTTTAGATTGGGATTGGCAACTTGAGCCCACCCCCACCCCCCACAAATCTCTGCACCTTCCTCAGGATGAGGGATCTAAGACACAGCAGCAGATAACAGATTGATGGAACGGAAAAGGGAGAAGGCAGATGGCCTGGAAAGGTCTGGTTGAGCGTGGGCAGGTAGAGATGGTAAATGAGTGGGTGGAAAGGTTACCTTTGTTGCGATTTTCAGAGACTCCTTGTTTTTTACCTGTTTGAACAAGAAAGAAAAAAGTGGGGTGGAAACCCAAAATGACTATTAAGAAAGAGATCAGATATCCAATTTCTTGGTCCTGCTCAGAGCCCAGAAGGGCCACAGCAAAGGGGCTGGGTTGCAGGGAAGGGAAATGTAAAGGAAGCTCACGTCTCTGCTTCCCATTCATTCTTGCTAGAGGCTCTAATGAATCTTTGGGATATTGACCAAAACACTCAAGTAGGTGAGTGCACACTCACCCCTGAGCTGCTTTCTCTTGGAGCATGATTGCTGCTGGGAGGGTGCTCCCAGCCTGAGTCACATTGCTTGGAACAATGGGATGGGGATTAGAAAGCAAGAGACTGGAACTGTTTCTGCGCAATGGCAAAGGCCCTGAAGGTGTCTCCATGTAGCTCCAGGCAAGCTTCCTCCTTATCCTTTTTCATGAATTGTCCTCCACTAAACAGCCCAAGATGATCCTCTAGACAAGTGGTAGAAATCCTTCTCTCCCCCAGGGGAAGAAGGAATGCTTAGGGAAAGGTATAAATTTGGTTTTAGTATCTTTTCCTCTTTCTCCTGTTATTCCTTTCTTCAGGAACAAGTGAATGGCAAAGACTGGACTAACTTCAAGGTAGACATTACCTGTCCGTTCCCACTCTCCTAGCTGTGTCTCTTTTGCACTGAGAACCCACAGTTTCATCAGGAATCCATTTTATTCTTCTGGCCAATTATCCCTTAGTCTTTTCTTTT